AAGTGATTTCATTGATAAGCATTGTTGTTGACGGACATTTTTTTAGACGGCCAAATTGCGAAGGGGTCCCAAAATCCATAGGAAGAGTCAATTTTATCTGGTGTAAAAGAGCTTCGGGTCACAATTGATGCTCTTTTTTCGTCTTCTTTGGGAATCATTTTTTGCGTGGAAAAACCTTAGGAAATTAAAAGAATTTTTCTGTCAAATCTCTAGAAATTCGAATCATTCGTTTTTTTTGGAGATCAATTTTTTCGACGAAAGCCCTTAGGAAAACAAAGAATTTTTCTAGCGGAAAATCCCTAGCAAATCGAAAGAATTCCACGACTGTGTTGAGGGTTCCGAAAAAGGGGGGTAATCCAAACCCTCGTCAAAACCTCTGATAACAAAGCATTTGAGTTTATTTTTAGTTTATAATGAATTGCCAATTATAAAAATGACAATATCGCGACTTGATTAATTCAATTCATAAGTGTACTTTGTGCTGTTTTCATTGTTGTGTTGTGTTCATTTTTTCATAATTCGAATGAAAATGAATTCCAAATTAATTTTATTCATTTTGGTGATTGTATCAATTAAAAATAGCAATGTTTTTGGTGCAAAATATATCGGTAGTTGTCATCGTCATAAATGGATAAATTTAACGCTCGTTTGTGTCGATGGTTTGACAGAGAATAACATATACTTGTCCAACGACAATGACATGTGCAGTGATACGCAGACGGGCACATGGCGATTGGTTGATACTATAAATTTCGAAAATTGTGAAACTCCAAAGCTACCAGATAAATTGTTTGATATCTATGAAATCGATACGTTGAATATGACATGCCTTGGTTATAAATCATTCGACTTGGATGCATTTGAAACTGTCAAAAATATTCGTTTAATAAATGCATCACAAAATTCGGTTGAGGAGATTCAAGCAGGTCTGTTCAAAGATAGTAAAAACATTGCAAGGATCGATTTATCATTTAATAAAATCAAAAAAGTCGATCCAAATGCATTTTCGGAAGAGAGCCGCTTGGAGGTTTTAAATTTGGCTCACAACAACATCGAACAATTAAGTGGCAACTTTATTAAAAAGCTACCGAAATTGGAGATTTTTCAATTGTCCGAAAATCAATTGACTGACATTCCAACCGAACTCAAGCACACTCGATTGGTTCATTTTAATGCGTCACATAATAAAATCACCGAAATTCCAGCCAACATATTCAATTATACCCATAATCTTATCAATCTGGATCTATCATACAACGAAATCAAATCGATTCA